CTTAAACCCGCATGTTTTCGCGTGGTTTAGAGCTCTCTTTGCCTTTGAATATCACCCCCCCTACATCAATTTATGCTCCGATAATATACCCGCTACTCCCCCTGGGTCCCCACTGTCACAGCCTGCTCTATCGTCTTAGCCCGTTCTGGCTTCTTCTCAAGTGCCCACAAACCCTCCCTTGCCACTACCTCTTCTCTTTCTTCTAGCACCAATTCTCAAGCCAGGCCACCCGTTAGAAATATTTGGTTCACCGAGCTCGGGACGATCTACGTTTGCCCTGGAAATTATGATAAAAGCCCTTGGCCGAGGCGATGAAGTCCTTATTTTAGGTCTGTCGTCCCAAGGTATAGGTAAGCTTCCACGTCCCCGCCCTAGCCTTCCGTCAATAAATCCATCGTATTCCGACCACAGGCGAGGCGTATCTCCCAACGAACAAGTTGACGAAGAATATATTGCCGCGCGATGTCTATACGTGTGTACGATGAGCTGATTTGACCACTATGGGCTATCGTGTCGGCGCTTATCAACACTGTTCTATGGTTTCTCCCAGTATACGCTGCGTTCTTAATCTTGAGACGATGGCTAAGCTTAACGTCCAACTGGCAGGGTAGAACTCGAAGCTAAGGGTCCACGATCCACATCGATAGTCGGTACCAGCTGCCAAAAGAGTAGATAGAAGTCTAATATACAGCAAATGGGTAGTTTGAGTCGAATGATCAAGGGATCACCAAGCGAAAAAAGAGCAATCCCGTAAGATGATACGTACCTGTCATCAAGAGGCACACCTGCACGCCTATCATGTTTCGAGACGGAATGGTTGAACCTTTTGGTAGCCTTGAATGATTATTTATCGGGAGTTAGGCGAAGGTCCAAAATCGGCAGCACCCTGGGGACGTTAAGCCATGATAATGCATAATCAATGTACTGTCGGTGACAGCACCGAGCACGGAGCGCCGGGCTACTTACATGCTCGTAAATGGACGTGAGCAATGATGCAATTGGGACATATCGCAGGAACCTGAAGCTCAGATTGCGGGAAAGCGGTCGCATGATTTCAATTGTCCGCAGTCCGCAGAAGATGATGGGAATTGGAGCCGATGAGACTAATTCCAAGACAAAACAATAAGATGCGGAAGGATATGGAATCATATCACTATACAGCCAGTAGGTTTGGGTCTACAAGAAAAGCGGGAATTCGTTCGAATCTTCCATAACTATCTTGATATGGGTAGCCAACTCAGCGACTATTTTGTGATCCTTCTCGTAACAACGAGAAAGTATAAGGCGGTCGAGGGGAACTTCACCAGACTCAGATTCAGACGCCCTAACCGAGACTTGGCTTAACCTAGACTTGACAACCTTCACGATCGTCGATGCCCTGAGCGGCGTGCGATCAATTCGTAGCGTTCGTAACCGGGGGGCAAGGTGAGATGATGGCGTGATGATAAGGGACGCGAGGATTGGGGGGAACCACACTTCTGAGAGTGACAGAGTCGTAATAGTCGGCAAGTTTCTGAGTATTTCTGCAAATGTGGAGATATTCACTCCAAGGCAGCGGAGCGCCAACGACTCTAAGCATGGAAAGAATAGTATGCGGCTGGGGCTCCGAAGTACGTCAGGTCGCGATGCTTCGTAATCGAACTCAAGGTTCAAGACCTTCTCATCACCATCAAGAGTCCATCCAGAAATGGCGTAGTTGTAGGAGAGTTTGACAAATAGAGTGCCAATGCGAGATGCGTTGGGTACTGTGTCTGGGAAGTAGGCTTGGAAATGGTCCCCGACATCCATTTCTAGGTGGACAGTGGGCGGAGGATGGATGGATCGGAGGATAAAACTAGACGTGGGTAGGCGGAGTACTACCTTCTGAAGGCTATGCAGCGGAGTTGGTTTGGGAATAATTGGGGCAGACGATGCGTGGATTGCTGAGAAGGGCGGGAACACTAACTCGATAAGAGCAAGCTTCTCTAGATCCGGGCATTCGTTGAGGGCTCGCAACAGCTGGTAGACAGAGCTCCGGTTGTATCGGATGCGTTCCAGATGCAAGCTGGTAAGCCCATGAAAGATGGCAGAAGACAAAGGCAGGCAATGCCCGGCCAAATGCAGGTCTCGGAGACGCGGTGCTACCTCACTAAAGAGATTAACCGCAGAATGCGATTCGTCCACGACGCCAAACCAGCCGGGTGAGGTCAGACAAAATGTCTCCAAATGGAACACCGGGAACGTAAGCTTCCGTGCAAACGTGCCTCTCCTTCTGCTTGTCGGTTGAAGCGTCAATGATGACCATCGGCCTCGATGAGGTATCAGAAGCTCGATGAACTGGGAAAAATAGTGCACCTGAGACCAGTAAGCATGGTCCAGATTTAAGTGTTCGCTTCCGTCGCTGTCGTCCTCGGAGTAGTCGTCGCTGTTGTCCTCCTCAACGTCGTCGGGGGAGGAATAAAAAGAAGTCGGTACTATTTCTATCTGCAGCGGAAGTTGCTTCGACCGCTTAATGAAGAGGGGTGCAATGCGTGCGTTGAAGGCGTCAATTTTTGTCCAAAGTCGCGGCGTATTCAGAGCGACCTCTCGCCAAGTCCTCGACACTGCTGTCAGGTTGAGTGGTTCCCGCTTTATTAGCGGAAACCGATAATTTCCTCGAGAGGAGCCCACAATGCCAAAGATTATGGAGAGAAGCTCTTCCGGAAGCCGTTGCACGGGAATAAGTTGGCTGCGCTTGTAGTTGACAGCCGACATCAGCTGTCCGGTGTAAGAGTACACGGCCTTTGCCGCGAGATCGCGGGTAAGCTTAAGAGCCTCGTACTCTTTTTCCAGTGATTGAATGGTAGGGTTGCCATTGTTTGCATCGTCGGGATTGTGAGAACGGTAGTACTCGTAGATATGGCTGCTGGAAACAAGTTTAGCAATCCATGGGCAAATATACTTGATGATACGATAGGCTTACTCCAGCTCGATTTCACCAATATCACCATCCCAGTCCCGATCTAGTTTGCAAGAGATATGGTGGTATAAGCTCTGTATGAGCTTCGGCACGGCTGGTAATAGGATATCTTCCATTTTACGTCTATCAAAAGGGAGAGTAAGACAGAGATCTATCAGCCCGTCAAGCTTCGCGAAACAAACCTCGAGCGTGCCTGGGCTTGTGTATGTGAAGTATTGCACTAGCGTCGAGAGGCGGCTGCGACAGACTGAGACCAGTCACCAAGCTGATGGTGAGTGATGCGCTGAAGCTGACGCTGCTGACAAATACTTATAGATCGACTCAACACCAATTGCAAGCCACCATCTTCGACTTGCTTATGCATTGTGCTTGTCGGTAATGTGTGTTGACGCGCTTATTTTTCCTTCTATCCTCACCATCGCAACTTTACTAGCCTCCCAGCGACCCGCCATATAAATCATGGCAATCACCTACGACAGCTCGCGCTTGGTGGCGACGTTGCCTCTTAGCCCACCTGTCCTATCTGCACTAGCTCGTTGCGGTTTCGAGACTGTTCACGATATCAGGGCTTCGTCTCTTACAGCAGTCTCTATGGCTGAGGGTATGTAAGGAGAGCTCTCATAAAGCTTAATTCCGCTTATTTTTTGCGTGGTTTAGAGCTCTCTTTGCCTTTGGACACCACTGCCCATATCATCAATATGTGCTCCGACAACATACTCACCGCTTCACCCAGGTCTTCAGCTTCACAGACTGTTCCCTCATCGCAGCCTGTCCCTGCCTCGTCCCAAGTTCCCACAGAACCTCCTCTGCCCCTGCCCCTCCCATCTCTCCCGGCGCCTATTCTCAAGCCAGGCCACGCGTTAGAAATATCTGGTCCCCCAGGCTCGGGACGATCTACATTTGCCCTGGAAATTGTGAGAGAAGCCCTAGACCGAGACGATGAAATCATAATTCTAGGTCTGTCTTCGTTACAATCTGCATCTTTGTGGCGCGAAATTCACTTGCGCTAGACCAGACACGCAAGGCGCGTTTGCGACTCATCGAATCGCCCACGCTCTGTCAGACTTGAACTCTACGACGTTAAATCTGATTCACCACGTATCTGCCTACGCACTTCACACCCTCCACGCTTTCTTTCATACCTTATCGGCATACCTTGACGCTCATCCCAAGGTATAAATTGGTTCAACTCTTGGTAACCCCCACCTAGCCACCTGCGCCTTTTTATAGATTCGCCTTCTTGTACTATCGTGTATCTCGGTCCTCCTTCCGTCATCCCTCTCCTCCGAGGTCAAATCTCACGCGTTGGCCGCTATCAAGCAATCCCTCACCCGGGCATCTGCCACTCATAACATCATGGTGCATTCTTTTGCGCTTCACTCATAAGATTAATCCTCACAGAAGCCATAAAACAGGTGGTTTCGACGATGCAAATGGTCACCAAGCTCTTCACCCCTGACGGCCAGCCAGGAAATTTCACGAATAGCACACGGGGTCTCATGGCCCCCCAGCTAGGTGGATTTTCACTCACGCTCCCATCCTGGCCCTACATCGATAGATCCATTATTTCCTCAACCATAGGCGAAGCATATCTCCCAACGAACAAGTCGACGAGAATCGTGCTGACGCGCGATATCTATTCGGGTGTACGGTGGGCTGATTCTACTATTATGGTACTATGGGCTATCGTGTTGGCACTTATCAGCTCCGTTCTATTGATTCATAGACATGCTCGTACGATTCTGATCCCTCCATCTCTAGCCCGTGCGAACGCTCTTCCAAGCGCCACTCCATTGAGCGTTGAAGCAAGCAAGAATAAAACCGCCAAGATGGTTGAATTTGAAATTGGTGTGAGGATCTTTTCCGACAAGGCGTCGTGGTGGGTGTCGAGTGAATACTAATATTGCCGCGATCTTCCTCGACAGCCGGATGGAAGAGTGCGGGAGCTGGAATTATGACGAGAGATGTTTACTGGTTTACTGGAGAGGAACAAAAACAAGCTTTGAGATTGCAATTATTATTAATCGTGGGTCGCTGCTTTCCATATAGGGCAAAAGAGAACTGGACAGGTTGGGAATCGAACCCAAGACCTCTCGCAATTGCAGATGCTAAGCGAGCGCTCTACCAACTGAGCCACATGCCCTGTGTGACATTGTCTCCGGCAAGTTCCATCAGCTCAGACAGGCTATCTGCTCATTGCCAGTCAAAATAGCGCTCTTTCCTGGTCCGTATCTGGGTAATATGAAGATCCTTATCCGCATAACAATACACGACCCCAAGTTTTAAACAGCTACCGTCCAGCGTTTTCGCCGCGTAGCCGGCGCCACCTGTCCTATTCATGAGTTCTCAAAGAAGATACCGATATTTCGACGGCCGCTGTCCTGTCTGCCCTGCCCTCCCGCCCACCCCGCGCAGCTGTCCAAAAGTCGGTAAATCTCGCAGACGAGTCGGACTTTGTGCCAAGCGAGGAGTGCCCGTGCGCCGAGATCCCTGCATCGGAGAGCGTTGTCGGCGGCTTACTCGCGTCGGATCCCCCCGTTCCATGAGATAACCCGTGCCCAAACCGCACAATGCTGAAATTATGCGGTATCCCAATGCTATTGCTGTTGGGTGTGCGCCAGCCTCCCCCTGCAGCCTCGAGCGAGTCGCCTCTCAAGCGATATACGGCTCCTACGATGATGGGGAGATTGCATACGATGAGGCCCACGGTAGCCTAGATTGTAAGGAATTTGTGAGCTGAGATAATATATATATGCAAGAGGTGCATGGTCATACTAACCTCCACAACGGCCGCCACCGCTTGATTTGGACCCTCGTCCATAAGCAGAAATAGGTTCTGCACCAGGCCAACGGCCGATGTCACTAAGGAGGTGGAGAAGATGGCCATCAATCGAATTCGGAGTCCGCGCGATGATTTCAAAGCCCAAAACATCCGGATTGGCCAGGCCATGAGCAGCACATCCGAAAAGACGCTCGCTAGATGGGTTGCGTGTGAATATGGCATTGGCCCTTGGCTAGGAGATGCAACCACTTACTGATGAGTTGTGAGTATGCAACCTGCTTCCCGAGGGGACAGTCCGGAAATGGTGATTTTTTCCAGCTCGGCTGAGGTTCACAAATCCATATCAACTGAGCGGAGAGGAAAACCCAGAAGAAAATGAAAATGGCGACGACGATATGTAAGAATCGTTTTTCTGACATCCCCGGAGAGACGCGAACGAGACAGTAGACTATAGATATGCGAGCGGGCCTACCGTGAAAGATAAGCATAGGTCTGCCTAGGTGGCTAGTTTTGTGACGACAAGACTCACCATATGACCGCATAGAATGTTTCGTTAATTAGATACCATATAGCAACTCTGGCTAAAGCCAGAGGAGCTTCAGCTAGGGGAGAGAGTGGCGAAAAGCAAATCAGCTCGCGGCCAGAGCTCGATATCCGAGATATTAATAAGTACCACAAACGAGCCAAAGATTCCATGTGACGATGAGCATGACAATGAAGAGCATGGATATGAATGCCCATGCATCGTCGTGTCCAAGAAGACGATTGCGGAAGCGATCAAAGAGCCTCAAGCAAGTCACGATGACTGCAACGATCGGGGAAAACAACACTACCACTAGGGAAGGCTTAGTTAGACCGGCTCTGGGTATAGAGTTGAGCTCACTTGCATCGGAGACCATCCAGGGAAATCATTATCAATCAAGGGAGAGTGGAATCTCAAAGGAGAATACGATCCCTTGGTATGAGGTGATGTGCGTGCGTACGTTCCACGGGCAAGATGACTATCAAAACGGGTATTTTTCAGGGAGCTGAGGGGGAAGGGAACCCTCGCACCGCTGCTTTACGTTCGGAAGCTAGCACCAAGTCTCGCTGATATCTCGAAATTACAGCCGTGAGTAACGCCTTTCAGCGGTTTTTTACGTAAAGCAATATTAGGATGCATGGGATATTGCTCCGAAGTAAACATTAATATTGCAAGGCCAATGTACCCATCTGCCGTCTGTCGGGTGTCCTTGCCGTAAGATGTTACTATTCTCTGATATCTGGAGCTAGGTTCATTAAGGGTTGAGTGAGTATTGGCCGCACTGAGAAACGGGGGCGAAGGGACAAGGTCGGGGTTCTTTGCAATGCCTATTCCCGGCGCAAGGTCCTCTAGGTCCGTGGTCGTTACGTAGTCGGCAGCTGTCGCATCCAAGTCGGCTCATGAAAGCATGATTTACCTGAGCCATCACGGTCGGAGCATGGTCCGCTCATCATGTTTATGAGCACGGGTAAGCAGCCCAGTGATCAATCGGGGTGTTATATGTGGAAATGGTGCGCACCGTCGAGCAGACCATTGTGCGTTGGTGGGGTCGCAAGAGGAATACTAACCTCTGGAGTGCTTGGTACTAAAAGAAGAAGAAAAATACTCAAGACGGATGTAACAGACAGCGAACACCTGAACCGCAGAGGGGAGGATTGCAGCGGATTAATGAGGATGGGGGCGGAGTTGATCTACTTTGTTTAACACTGCCACTCAGCGATGACCCATGCTAAGTAGCGATATTTTAGAGTTAGATCTCTGCCATTTCACGCCACTACCACTCCCAGCATATCGAGGCTTCCAAGTGCGTATAAGCTCATCTGAGGTATCCACTGGAAGGAGATTGTAGCAACCACGAACGCACAATGGGACCCCGACTTAATGGCAGGGTTTGAATGGGCATCGGGAGCGCCCGTCGCAGAAGCGTACACCAGGGTGTACAACATGATATGCTGGACTTGTCCTGCCCCAGAGCTGTGAAGTCTGGGCTTCATCCCGCAGTCAAGAGGAAGCCAGTGCCGCCTGAGATGGAGTATTGGGTCGTCTACGTCATCCGCTCCGGCGAGCTAAACTCGGTCCTCGAGCTCCTCTTTTTCCTAGAGACCCAGCCACCGCAGTGTATTAAGCGCCGGGAAACGCCCGGAGAGGCGCACCGTCGCATGCTGCGAGGCTTTGGCCTTCTCCGCAGTATAGTCACCGTCGAGCGTTCAGTGTGCCTACGGTGTTAGTGCGCTGGGAACCCGTCTCTATTTTTACTGCTTGCCTGGTGAGTCCGAGTCGGGTAACGAAGGCACTAGTACGGTAGAGCATACGGACGAGCCATCTACCACAGATCTTTGGAGCCATGATATCTTGGAAGAGGTGGGCGTGAACAAGCAGAAGCAAATGGCAGGAGAGGTGCGCACAGTGTGCGGGAAACTGATGGGTGTTGCCACTCCAGGCGCACGTAGCTCAGAGAAAGTGTAGTCGAGATGATGCTCACTAGTACTAGTACTTACGTGACTTATGCTGCAGCCTGCTCCCTGTCTTTGAGATCATGGAATCTCCAAAATTCTAGATGCTCGAGCTTCATATATGACACTTTGAGCCTAGGAAAGACACATCTCGAGAGAGCTGTCGCGTCTTCCGGCGTGTTGTCCCCGCGACCACATACTTTCCGTATATATGGAATTTTGAGATCTTGAGCATGGAAAACTAATGGAAAACTGCTTGAAAGTTGGAAAGCCTGAAGCCTAGCTACTTAGTACTTATACACAGTGACACTTGCAGCCATGGGCGAGCCCTGTGCTTACAAATGGCGTCCCCAGTATCCAGCCGGTCTCCGGTGTTTAAACAGGTTTGAACTCGCCACCATCATCAGGAGTATTCGGAGCGTGCGTCCATCGACGTATCACTGATGGAACAACTCAAAGATATTATTTTCCCCACTATACCAACGCTCGTGCAGAACCTTTGCCAGAAAATCCACGCGAATAGAACGGAAGACGCCGATGCGGACGCGGACACGGATAATATCGGTGCAGTTTCCCAAATCTTCAATGAGTAAGTTCTTAAATCTTACCACCGAAATCAACGATCGACATCTTGATCCTACCATGCACACAGAAATTCCCTCACACCTTTTTTCTTCCATGTCCCTAACCCGGATGGAAACGACCCCATCGATGTCATGGACGCAGAGTACGCGCTGCTCATGTCCGCGCGCCAGCTTGCTCTCGATTCTATTCACTCGTGCACTGCGCGAATGATCTCGGCTCTCAACTTTAGGCGCAATAGGCAAAACACCACCCACCAGCTTCCATTCGAAATTCTCTCCCTCATTTTTCAGTTCACCGAGCGCTCTTCGGCGAATCCGCTGCGCCCTCTCCGGAAGCGGGCGCCGCTTAACATCGCAGCAGTATCGAGGCGTTGGCGGGATGTCGCGCTGAACACGGCGAGCCTCTGGACGAGGATAGACGTCATGGTGCCGTGGGCCACACGGATTTTTCTCGAGCGATCGAAGCAAGCGCGGCTCGCCATTGAAGTAAATGCTTGGGAGCTTGATGCATGGGCTTCCAGTAGCGAAGGGTACAGCGAAGAGACACGTCCCACGCAAAGTCGGTTATCCCAATACGTTAACTCCCTAAAGCTTACAGCCCACCGCTGGACATCTATGGAGCTTCGAGGAGTACTCGCGTTTGACGTCGTGCAGACGTTCTCCTTTCCGCTGCCACATTTAGAAGTGCTGCAGGTCATAAAGGGCGGGGACACTCTCACTTCCGAGTCCAATCCTCCTCTCAACGCTCTTTTTCGTGGGAGTGCGCCGTGCCTCCGCGACTTACATTTGAACGCGACACCGATTTCACTAAAATCTCCCATTTTTGCTGGCCTTACCAGGCTGCACCTCGAAAAAATTACATATCGCGCCAGCACTGTTGGTCAATTTACCAGAGTCCTCGCTGCATGCCCGGACCTAGAAGATCTTGTGCTTATTAGAACTTGCTTCGCGCAATCTATTCCCACGACTCCATCCGCATCATTGCTATTGGTGCTTCCGCACTTACAGCATATTGCGCTGCGGGGCATGGCCGCGCATGTGCCCAAATCCATTCTCGACTCCATCTCAGTACCATCTTCGACAGTCCTGGATATTGACATTCTTATATCTTCCTGGGACGACGCCACGATGCCGGAGAATCTCCCGAACGCCTCCCGCGTCAGAAGCTTATCTATAGGTGCGGACCAAGCTGTGAAGGGGTCGTATAAGATCGTTGGCCAGACCTTGGAGGGAGGCGCAGCCATGCTGAAGGTTGGATATACCGCTGGGTCCCCATTGTTTCTCACGGGGGGTCGCGTCCCG